GAGGAACAGGCTATTTTAGCACAGCTCTGCTTTCAGGTTACCCAGCTGGGTCATGTTACACCCCCAGTCACAACATACTGAAATACAATACCACACCAGAACAGATATGTGACAAATTCTCCTCCAGCTACACAAGTGCCTTATCCCTGTCCTGATCCAAAGTACAGCTCTGCAGAGTTCCTGCCAATAGGGCACGGACACAGCCACACAGGCACAACGTCAGTTCAAGCAGAGGATGGCACTTCAGAAGCTGGGAAGGGGAGAGAAATAAAAAATCTATCCTCTTATTTATCCATATTTCACATGGGTGTTTTGTTCAGTCATGAGGAATTCCCTGTTTCCTTCATGAAATTACACCAAGTACTAAGCACCTGCCAAAGAGGGTGGCTACAGTGCTGCAGGAAGAAGAAAGGAGAGGAGCAGCTCCTCCTACCTCACACTCCACAGCTACTTCTACATTAAAAGCTTTAACAAATCGGCTTTGCGACACCTAAAATGTAATAAAGCCCAGCGGTGCAAGAGGTAGGGAGGGTAACATTATATTCCAATGACAGGGACAGAGGCAGTGAAAGAAAAAACTTCATTATTGGGAATCAAAGGATTTCCTCTGAAACCCTGGTTCCGTGCACGAGGTCACTGGAATTCCTCAGCTTCCATTGACTGCTGTGTAGATACAGGGCAAGCAAACCTTGTGCCTCAGTTTTCAAACCTGCAAAAGCAGGAATATGAGCACTTTCCCTGCTTCAGCAGGGCTTGTTGAGGCTTGGAGGTTTGCAGTATGCTGCAAGATCAAAGGATCACAAGATCATTACATATTCAGCACAGGTCCATGCACTATTTGAAGATCTGGAAGCAAGGCAGGTTGCTTAGCTTGCAAAGGAGAGCAGGAAACCAGAGATTTCACAAGCCCTTTTATTGTAATTACTGGGAATGGAACTGGTGCTCTGAGAGATGGGCACATCAGGCTGGCATCTCCCAAACAGCACTTACCTCAGAGGTGCCACAGCCTCAGGATTTGCCCTAAGAGCACCCTAGAAGTGAAGACATTGAGATGAATCGTCTCTTTGTGACAACACAAGCTTTTCTTAAGTTTAAGAGTCACTTTCAACAATTTACCCCTTGCAAACTTCTCTATATCACTCTTCCATTTGTTGGGAAACACAATATAAATCCTGGCATTCACAACACTGTCACAGGTTGTGGTACCCTGAAAGGTCTCATATTTCTGCAGAAGCAATAACTCTTCTGTTTGTCACTGTAAGCCAAGGTCTTTCATACAGCACACACAAACACAGAAGAAAATAAATGTATTCCAGGAAAGCACAGCGATGAATTCACAATTACAAGTGGGAATCAGTGCTTTGTAAACACACACAGACAAAAATTTATGTCACAGATCTCTTTTTCCAGATACCATGAAAGGTCATTCCAGTCAGACAACTTGACTGGGAATGTGTGGTAGTGCATGGACTCTGTTATTCTCCCTTTCATGCCTTCACAAACTCGTGCTGCTGCCAGGTGGGCAGCAGCTGGGCTTGGTTCTCCCTGGGGCTCCTTGGGGACACAGATCCCCAAGCTCTGGACCTCAATAAAATAAGGGGCTTGCTATTCACCATAATTTCAGGATTTCTACAGTTCCTAACTCATCTATCACAAGTAGTCATAGTGCACACACCTAAAACCAGTCTTCTCCTTGTTGTTAATTGTTCCTACCCACCACACATGACAGACAATGAATACAAGAGTCAGTAACGAAGTTCCCACAGACACACACATCCATTAGAGGTGCTCCACCTGCCACACCTCTCCTTTTTTAAATCAAAGTATCTTAAAGTGTTTAGAAATAAAGTATTTGCCAAAGATTAAATGTTGTTCCAGTGCTCAACAAAAACAGTGGGAGTCTCCACTGATTTCAGCGTCGAGAGCCTCACACAGCTCTGAATGCACACAGGTCACATGGGATCCAGTCAGAGCTCTTAACACTTGACAGGCTCAGACCTCATCTTGCCAATGCAAGCAACTGGACAAAATGGAAGCAAAACTCAGTAGAGGTATTTCTTTATAATTTACCCATGATCTAAGGCTGAGACACACACAGAAAACAATTGTAAAAGGTGCAGAAAATGTAGTGAAATAAAACTGCAAACTGCCAGGGAAGGTTTGGTTTGGGGCTTCAGAAGATATGATGGGAGTGTGGAAACCTGGGATGGTGGAAATGACTAAAACTTTTATAAGCGTTGCAAGAATACAAAGCCTTACATGTGAAAACAAGAAGCCTTAGAAAAGTAGTCAAACAAAAGCCCATGCTAATGCTGGCATTACCTGAGAGCCTCATTACAGAAACAAAGCTTGGGAGCAGACAACAACAATCCTGGGCTGTACTCAACAGCAAGGACAGACAGGATTTTATAAAAAAAGTTTCTCAGCCGGTGCAGATAGCAAATAAGCTTTTTGGGAATTATGCCTAATGGAAGAGGAATGACAATGAAACCAAATCTGAAAGAACCAGGAAAGAAGTAAGTTTGCTTGTAAGTTTGACAACGGGACTGAAAAGCAGCACCTTCCAACTCACACACACACAAAACCCACAAGTCTGTACAACCCACAACCTCAGCTGGTCATCTCCAGGCTGGAATGATGTTGGAAAGCTCCACCAACAAGGGACTCAAAATGGTGTCTTAATCTGCTACCTTCGCCAAGCAGAGAAAGGCATTAAAAAGCTCAGTGACTACAAACTGAATCAAGAAGTATTGAGACATGAAATAACACAGAAGCTCTTCACACTAATTAACGACTGTATATGCAAGCTGTGGGACATGGGTGCTGGGGCCTCACCTGAAGTCTTGAAAATTGAAGTGCTCCAAGGGTTCTGTGCATATCTGGAATATTAGAAATTAATTTCCTTCTAAGTCTATGAGGTCTTTTTTACTAAAAGCTTAAATTGAGACTGGATGGTGTTCTCAGAGGCATGTTCCAGTTCAGACACTTCTTAATGGCTGTAATGCAGAAAACACTGGAATGCCACAGGCTGTAACATGCAGGTGTTCAGGCAAAAGAATCACAGAGGTCCCTATAGGCCTTGAAATCAGTGAACTGTGCAGAGAGCAATTAAACACTCTCCCAATTGAAGATGACTTTGGCTTCCTTTGGTGAAAGGCACAGCGTGCAGCTGGTCATCTCTTCCTCAGAAGTTTTGCTTGGCAACCCTGAGCATCAAGACAGAACAGAATCTGATGTATATGTGCATATATATATATATATATATATATATATAGACACACAAATATATGGCCCCTTTGTGTGACTCCATGGAGCAAACCAGAGAAGGGATCAGACTGACAAAGGAAGAGAACCTCTCTGGAGCATTGGCAGCTGGCACTGTGGCTCAGTGACTGACAAACATCATGCATGGTGGGGATGCTCAAGGCAGAGGTTCAGCTTCCCAACCAAACACCAGCTAAAGAGAAACCACAGCTCAAGTAAATTAAGGTGCAGAAGTCAGGGAGCTCTCAGGCTTGGAGAACTCTCTGCATCCCTTTCGTTAGGCTGCTACTGGTAAGTAATTCTACCAAGTGATTTAGTTGAGGCAGTGGTTCAAACCAGAACATGTCCATACTCCCTGTGACCAAAGAAGTGAAGCTCTGCTCAATAACCTCTACAAAATTACTCTCATAGTTTGAGAAAACAACTTTATTCCCGAAAGTACTCAGAAACATGTTTAAATTACATTGTGTTTACATGCCACCCTTTATAATGAAGGTATAAGCATGGACTTAAGAACCTTGTGTTAGGTACTTGAAGGTATAGTGGGGAGCCAAGGAGAAGAGGAATACACTTGTCCTCCTGCCAAGTCTTTTAAGAAACACAAAAAAACCAAACCCCAGACATCATTAAATAGTAATATCATGCTGTGAACATAAACGAAAAAAAAAAAAAGTACTAATTGGAGACTTACAAAATTGAGATTTACAAAAGTATATACTGAAATGAGGGACAAAAAGGACACTGGATAGTCTAATGTGTGCAAAGAAATGTAATACTGCATCTGTACAGCATCCCCGAATCTAACATTCAGTGGGAAGCTGGTATCCTCAACTCCCAGAGAGGAACTGAGGCAAAGAATGGTTATATGACTTGCAAAATGATGTATCAGATCTCGGAAGGTGCCCTGCGAGGTGACTCAGTGATCTCTGCTCCCACACACCAGCCAGAGGAATTGTTTCCAAGACAACACCCAGGTCACTAAAGCTGATAAGGACCGAGGGCCAGGGACACTGCTGCTTGTCACAATCACATGTTCAAGCCTTGCAGATACCTGGTTTAGTACAGAGGGTGACTATTTCTGATTAAAAGTTTAGAGCATAGCACAGCAAGCCCACACATCTGACAGATCCCAAAGTTTCATCTGGAATGAATCAGTATCAATTCAGACTTTATTTAAACATATTGTTTAAATACAGTTTATCCCTCCTGATGCTGGGTTGAGAAGTTCAGTCTTTCAAATATACTCTCTTACAGTGAAATTTTTTTGTCTTTAGAAACAACTTGAAAACACACAAGTGCATAATTACAGTGGTCAGATATCTTCATCCTATTATCATCAATCTGTGTTTCTTTTCACAAGAAATCAGACTGACATGTCTGTGGGATTATACCACAGCACAACTGCAGTGTTTTGGAATAGTGACAGCAGGGACCAGATGAGCCTACAAAACATTGTGCCACATGCATAATATACATAGCTTCAGTACATGGAGAGAAAGTTCCCAAACTTCCCGAGCCAAGAGAACTAGGAGCAAAATTTACAGATCAGATATGTATTTTATTTTTTTATAACATTATGTACCTCTGTGACAAACAGCAAGTTCCTAGAAATCCACAGTTTGGCTTCCAGTAAATTTGTCCTCTTGGACTATGTTATTTGCTGTTGTGACATCAGCACTCACTTCTGCTCCCTTGAGTGACAGCACAAAAAAAGATGGTTACACTGATGGCACAAGATGCTCGGCCTGAGATAGAAAACCCTTTCATCAAATGCACTTAGAGCTTATCTAGAGAAAGCATAATGACTTGAGAAGCTGCTCGGCTCAGCTCTGGTCAGCAGATCAAGCAGTGCAGTTTGTCCTTACTCAGCAAAGCAAACACAAATCCTGAATAGCAGTAACACACCCATGCCTCAAATGAATAGTGTGCTTAAGTGCTTTCCTAATTGAACCTAGACTGCAGCCTGAGGACCAACAGAGCACCTTCTGCCACCTTCCAGAATGTGGAAGAGTACCTGGATCAGAAGAGCAAGTGCCTCTACTGATTTCCACAGCACTTTTCCTCTTGGGTAATTATTGACAAAATCCAGCTCAAGAGTACCACCTAGCCTTCCTCCAACATTTTACAGATACTAACCAGTGAACTCAACATCACCAAATTAGGTAGCTATTAACTCTTGCACCTGTCCTACAACTGATTTAAAAGATGGACTGAGGACCAGGGAAGGTCAAACTCTACCACAGTATGAAAGGCTGCAAGAAATACAGGTTTTTCTCTGCATCCCACACAGCCTTTGCTCAGAAGGCAAACTCCCCTCTGTGCTCTCTGCCACATTCATTCCCTCTCAACAGCCAGTGCAAGAGCTGAGCCAAAGGGACTGACTGACTCAGCAAGGGATGCCCAAGCCTTTGCTCAGTGTGGGAGACACCAGTGTGAGTCTCATGACACTGCCTTGGGAAGGGGACAGCTTCCCACAGCCCTTTTTCCCATAATGATGGAGTGGAGAATGTTTGTGTGTTCAGCAATAATCATAGTATAATGTCCCAGCCCACCCTCAGTATTTTATAAGCCCCAAAGCCACTGACTCATACACACTCCAAGTGGTAGCCAGCCTCTCCACAGGCCCACTGTGCCCACCAGTGATGCAGCTGCTTCTGAGCTGAAGCACAACAACCCATAACATCAAACAGCAATATCTTCTCATAGTTTAGCCTACGAAACAGAAGATATGAGCCCACTCCAGGAAATGCAGGGCAGAAATTACACTGGTGGGTACCAACAGCCCAAAGCACAGTTCTCCCAGTAGCCTGGAAAGTGGAAGGACAATGTAAAAGCATCTATGTGGTGTGCTAATTGCTGCATTGTGCCAGCCAGAGTCAAACTGAGCCTGGAAGCAGCTCCACTACCTGTGTAACAGCCTGGTCACAAAGCAGGGACAGAGAGACTCCTGGCCACAAGCTGGGAAGCATCAGCAATGCTGGTTTGAGCCCTCAGGACTTCCTGATTGCTCAGGAAAACCCTCCTTCAATGACAGTGTAAGCACCCAGAGCTGTCCAGCCTGGAATTGTGCCAGACCTCTGGCATGAAATTCATTTTACTTGGAGGAAAAAAAAGTCCAGATGATCTAAGTGAACAAGAAGAGACATGTTGCAAAGGCAATGCAGGAGATCTGGGATTTGTTCTTAGCTCCACCCAGCCCTGGTGATCATAATCCTTTGTTTGCCTTTTTTTTCTATTTAGATTGTAAATTCTTCAAGACAGAGACAATCTCTTGGGATTTGTTTATACAGAGTTTATACATCAGTCCCAGGGATTACTGCAAGGAGAATAATCTTTAATGACTACAAATCCTGCGACCCCTGTTTTAGAAATCCTCTAATGTGTGTCAAATAGATGTTCAAAGAGAGGCTCCAAACGAATTACAATGTCTAAGATACCACAACAGTTCACCACGCCAGTTGCTGTCCATTAAATCCAGCTAGGAATCAAATCCCTGCATTCTTGGCTGTAACTTATTCTCTCAAGCAGACTGGCAAATGAGTTTCAGTGTGGCTAGGAGCACTGTGCCTTTCCTCCCACAGGCTCACACTTGACAGAGAATTAAGAGAAGTCACTTCTCTTTTTGCTGCATTAAAATTAATCCGACAAAAACCTAACAAATAAACAAAAAAAACCCAACCAAACAAAATGAAACAAACCCCCCTCCCCCCCCCCCCCCCCCCCCAATCACAGAGAGAGAAATTCAACACTTCACAGGAACTTAGACAGACAGAACTCTCTTCTACTGGGAGCTTTAAAATAAAAGTAGGATGTCCAAGGCAGGGCTGCTGACCTTAAAGGTGTGCTGGGGCACAGGCAGGAAGATAGACAGAAGAGAAAGAAAAGTGCCAGGAGTGGGAGGGACTCTCTGATCAGCATCTGCTAAACACAGAGTCGCATCTTTAATTTTCTTCTAATTTCTGAGCAGCAGTGTCAAGAGTGAGTGCCAAGGGATGAGCAGCAAACCACCTCTGAGCCCAGGCAAACCCAGAACCCAGCATGAGCCTTATGGCAGATTTGTTTCTCTGGGACTGCCTGCCTTCCTCCAATAGCTGATCACAGCTCCTTCACCTTCACTCATGTGCTACAGTTACTTTAGCATCATCCTAGAACTAAAATGCATTAATTACCAAAAAATTCCATAGTTTTAAGGGGTTTCTCTAACCAACAAAACCTTTCCTCAAAGAGTTTTTCATCCTGTGTGTTCTCCAGAAATGGCATCATGAACACTGCAAGCTTTTTTTAAAGGAAGTTTGGCTCCCTGCAGTCAATCCTTGTCTTCTCTTTAGCACCTATCCCCTTCCTGGGGAAGCAGAGCCCAATCCAAATAGAGCTGTGCAGAGATTAGAGCAGATGAGATACAGGTTTGCTGTGTGCAGACTGCAGATCCAGGGTTTGTTTAGAAAAATGACTCTGGTTTACTTCACGTATTGTGCTCCTTCCAGTTGAGATAATTAAGAAATATTTCTTGGTGCTTGAGGAAAAATTGATTGTTCCCTAATATTCGTTCAGCCCTGTATAATGAAGTTCATTTTGGTCCTGAAGTCAGTCCTGTTCAAGTAAAGTGCTTGTTTGCATTTAAGATCTTACAGGATGTTAAGATGAATCAAGGTGCTTGGGGCTGTCAAGTTGAAAGCTTAATATCTTCAAATTGCTGTCCAGGTTACTTTGAAATATTTATGTTATGTACCTTTCTTTCCTGGCAAATTACCATTAATGGGAAAGGAGTTCAGAATTACCTACCAGAAGCACCAAAGTCCCTTTAATGGTAACAATTATTCACTCTAAATTTTTTTATATACAATTTCTCCTGTAGCACCTTCAAAATACCTGCAATTCCAGCAAATGTTTTATGTTAATCTAAATTCTGATTCTATCTTACTTATCTTTCTCAAAGCTGCTGCCTTGAGGAACCATGCAAAGCAACAGACAAACAATGATTTCACTCTTCTGACTGTGCATTTGATGCAAAAAATCCTCTTGCTGTTTTAAAAAGGCTGAATCTGCTTCAGTTGGGAAGCAGACTATTCTGGTATCAATCCAAGACCTTTTAAAGCCAGAAGAATATATTTTAAAAACTGCTCTTCAAAGGGGTTAATAAGTCAACAGTGGATATTTTCATGTGGAATTATTCAATTTTAGATAATTATCATAGTCATAAAAGTCAACAGCCTCTCTCTTAGCTACCTAAAATAATCAAGAACATGTTTACTCAGAGTTCATTTTTTAAAAAAATAACATCCATTTGAAGAAAATAGCAGATTTTAGGTGAAATAATAAAGAACAAAATACTTCCATGCTGAAATACCTGCATGCCTCACATGGATCCCCTTGCTGAGAGTCAAAGTCTCCAAATGAAACTCATTTAAGAGAACTGTAGAAAACTTGGGAACCAAAATTATAACAGAGAGGAAGGGTGGTTTGGGAACATGACAGCAGGCAAGACATTTGTGGAATCTAGGTGAATTCCCTAATATTGTTGCAGAATTCCTGCTTGAGCTTGGGTGAGCTGCTCACCCTGTGCAGTTCCCACCTGGAACACCAACCTACCTTCACCTCTGCCCACCCCAGCCCTCTTCTTTGCAGTGAAGAAAGACTCCCTCAAAACACATTAGCACAGTGCTTCTTAGCAAAAACAGTTCATTTTAGAGGGGGAAGCTGGCCACCAACATAATTCAAGCAGCTGCTGAGCACAGTGCAAGTGCTGCATCAGTGGGTGTGACACTGAACATCAAAATCACCCACATGGGACTCAGGTCAGCACTGAATGAGAAAATCCAATGGGAGTAAGTGTAATTCCCATCAATTTGTAGCAAATGAGTGAAATACAGACATTAAATTGAGTTTCTGCTCCTTCCCTCTTAAACACACTTAAAAAATAGATCTTTGAATCATCTCATGATTCACCACAGCATAACACAAAGTACTGAGTGACCTATCTGGTTACATGGGCAGGTGACACATGAGTGGAGCAAAGTTTCAAGATCAAGAAAGAATTTGGCTGTGTCAATACAGCAGATGTCAGCCTGATTCATTAATTTTCATAGTAACTATGCCTCAATGTGATCTAATTAAAGAGAATTTAGAAGTATTTAAAATTCTTTTGGAGCCACACCAACTAAACAAGAAGAGCTTTGATACATGTTTTATGTTCCAATATTTATTTTTCTTCCAGTGGCTGTATTACAATCAGGATGGACAAAAATCTAAGTTCATCAAAAATTGTCAAAGTTGCAGTGTGTGAAATGGATGGATTTTTCAGTTTTTCTTTGCTCCTTTTTAGTTTATACAATATGTAAAAATGTTCATCATATTTCCCTACAAAGGCAAATATCCATAGCCTTTGACAAGACTTTAAATGAAAAATTATACAGTTAAAAAAAAAAAAAAAAACAAACAAAAAAACCCCCAAAGACATGCAGTTTAAAAGAAAAATGTATTTTCATAATGTTTAAATTTTAGATAAAAGACCATTTCTCAGTTAAAATCTTTCCCCAAAAAAACCATCTCTTTCTTTTTGCTTGTTATGCTTTCAAAATTCTAAAACCCACATAGGAAACAAGACAGGAAAGAATGAAGGAAAAAGAGGTTCAGACAAGAAATGTATCCACTCCCCTTCAAAAACTCAGACTCTCAAACCAATGTATAATGTTGGTCTTAGAGATATAAAATTTATATTTAAGCATAACCTTAGCTAATGATGGAGAACTTGCAATTAATAATTTTATGTTTAAATCCCACAGAAAAGTTTTATTGTTAAATATGACCATTTTAAGGCAAAATGATTACTGAATTGCTGCTGTCACCCAAATGACAATATTTTAAGAGACTCTAGGAATAACTCTTCCAAACGCAATTGCTTCATCTTCTATAAAAAGTCATGCAAGGCATTCAGTAAGACAGTATTCTCAGAGCAGCTGAAACTCCCAGAGCAAACATGACAAGAGGAATCCTCATGAAGCTTTTAATGGTTCCATAACATTTTTTCTTGCCTCTTTTTTGGTTTTCAAATACTATGTATAATTTTTTACTGCCAATAAAGTTTACTGGTATTTTCATGCCTAACAATCACTCATGGTGGAAATCAGAGCAGGGATTAAGGAGAATGCTATTTTTAAAGTTCTTCTGGCAGAAATTGCTTCTCCTCCATGCAAGGAAGTGAGCTGTGGCTAGCGTGCTCTCCTGCAACAGGTAAAGCATGGCTACAGGAAATAAAACCAGAAAGCCTGGAGGAAGAGCTTAGGCTTGGGGCTGGTATTTATTCACCATGGTGTGCCACACAGGGCAAAATTAATCCTTTTAACAAGAAACAAGGAAAAAATTAGGTACACATCATGCACACCTTGTTTGGAGAGCTGAAACAGGAGCTGAGTGGCAGCACAGCTTCAATTTCATCTGACTTGAGTGAAATCCAATTAATAAAAGAATTGGAAAATCTGAGTGGCGGGCAGAAAATCCTCATTTCCTGTCAGTAACTCTGAGATGGGCAGGCAGGGCAGCAGCCACTCACACAGCTCCATGGCAGGGGTGCCAGCTACTGCCACATTCAGAAAGTAAACTTAAAAGGATTAAAAAGCAAACTTTAAAGGATTTCTATTGGGAGTGATCATGTTTGGAAGTCTCTAACTAAGCAGTGATGTCATCCTACCTGAGCTCCCTCCAACTTTGGCATTTTCCTTTGTCAGCTGCTGAACTTCCTCAGCCTTTTGCAGCTTTCCCATTCCCCAGCTACAGCAGGGCACTGTCTTAGCAGCAGCAACAACAATAAAGAGACAAAACCCATCCAGTTATCTCAGCAGAAGTATTAAATGATCACTTTTAACACATTTGAAGGAAAGACCTGAATGACAAAACCTGTGGTGCATAAGCCAAGGAGCCATGAGTGGGCACGGAGGCCAGGGCCTGGCAGCCATGCCCGACTGCCCCCGCCGCTGTGCCCAGGCCAAGGCCTGCCCACGGAGCCTGGGCTCCCCAGCAGGAGTTAATGCCCGTCGTGTGTCTGGACACTGCCGTGGTCAACACTGGGAGGCAGAGAGGAGCTGGGGTCGGAAATAAGTGGAATTCCTGAGCCAGTCGGAAAGGCTGGCGGCAGCGATCCCACAGACTGCGTGGAAGCAGGCGTGTTGCTTTGTTTACCTCAAGCTTTATTTTTTAAAGCACCATGACAGCTCTGAGACTCACTCTGTCTCAGACTAATCTATTTTCCCCTCAACACCTTGCAGCGAGCCGTCCACCAGCTTCCTGTCCAGGCCGGGGTCAGGAGCTCCCCCGGGGCCGAGCGGCAGCGGAGTGCTGCATGGGGCAGTCGGAGCAGCAGGATCAGCCTGGTCCCACTCCATGCCCAGGTTCAGCTCATTCTGACCTTCTGCTCTCCCGCTCCATGCCCAGGATCAGCCCAGTCTGACCCTCTGCTGTCCTGCTCCATGCCCAGGATCAGCTCAGTCTAACCCTCTGCTGTCCTGCTCCATGCCCAGGATCAGCCTGGTCTGACCCTCTCCTGTCCTGCTCCTTGCCCAGGATCCCCAGAATCAGGCTGGTCTGACACTCTCCTATCCCACTCCATGACCAGGAGCTCCACACATCCCGGCCTTGGCACTTGGCAGATTCCCAAACACAGAG